CTCATTTCTATCTGAGACCACATCATCCACACGGCCTTTACTGTCCACATTTCTATCAGCATTTTGCTCACCACCACATAAGTCTTGAAGACATTCCAAATGTCTCCATCCCCATTAATCAATCAGTTTCCAACACTGCCACATTGGAGATCAAATTTCCATGTGAGTTTTGGAGGTGACAACACATCCAAATTCCATCAACAGCTCATTTCTTTTTAGTGCTGAATAATATTCCATTGCATGGATGTGGATGTATCACAGTTTATGTATTTATTCACCTGCTAAAGGACATCTTGGCTGCTTTCAGGTTTGGGCAATTATGAATAAATCTTCTGTAACCATCTGTGTGGAAGTTTTAGAGTGAACATAAGTTTTTAATGCATTTGGGTAAATAGCAAGGAGTGCAATTGCTGGATTGTATGGTGACAGTATGTTTAGTTTTGTAAGAAACTGCCAAACTGTCTTTAAAGTGGCTGCACCATTTTACATTCCCACCAGCAATGAATGAGAGTTCCTGTTGCTCCACATCTGCACCAACATTTGCTGTTGTCAGTGTTTTTTCTTATGTTTTTGTTATTTTTCATTGCAGCTGGCCAGTACAGGGATCCAAACCCATGACCTTGTTATTATAAGGCTGTGCTCTAACCAAATGAGCTAACTGGCCAGCTGGGGTTTTTAGATTTTTGCCATTTTAATAGGTGTGTAGTGGTACCTATAGCACTATAAATGGTATAGGTACCACTATCTTTCTATTTTTTGTTTGTTCTTAATTTTATATCTTTCTACTTTAATTTTCAATTCCCTAGTGCAAATATGCAATTTTAATTTGCAATACCCTAATGACCCATGATATATGATGTTGAGCATCTTCTCATATGCTTACCTGTCACCTGTCAAATGTTCTTTGGTGAGGTGTGTGTTCAGATGTTTTGTCCATTTTTAAATCAGCCTGCTCCTTTTCTTATTTTTGAATTTTAAGAATTCTTTGTATGTTCAAAATATTTAAAAATTTCTCTTGAGACTATTTTTTGACCCATGTATTATTCAGAAATGTGTTGTTTCAATGTTCTCCAAGTATTTTGAGACTTTCCAGCTATCTTTCTGCTACTGATTTCTAGTTTAATTCCATTGTGGTCTGAGAGCATGCTTTGTATGATTTCTTTTCTTCTATATTTGTTAAGGTGTGTTTTATAACCCAGAATGTGGTCTTGGTAAATGTTCCAGGGGAGCTTGAGAAGAATGTTATTCTGCTGTTCTTGGATGAAGTATTCTACAGAGGTCAATTAGATCCGGTTGGTTGATAGTGCTCTTGAGTTCACCTGTATCCTTACTAATTTTTGGCCTGCTGGATCTCTCAATTACCAATAGAGGTCTCCAAATATAATGCAGATCTGTCTGTCTCTCCTTGCAGTCCTATCGGTTTTTGCCTCATGTATTTTGTTACTCTCCTGTTAGGCTCGTACACTTTAGGGATGGTTATGACTTCCTGGAGAGTTGATCCCTTTATCATTAGGTAGTGACCGTTTTTATTCCTGATAATCTTCCTTGCTCTGAAGTCTGTCTGAAATTAATATAGCTACTCCAACATTCTTTGGGTTAGTGTCAGCATGGTAATCTCTCTCACCATCTCTGTACTTTTAATCTATCTGTGTCTTTATATTTAAAGTGGTTTTTTATAGACAACATACGGTTGGGTCTTGGCTTTTTATCCACCCTCACAGTCTCTTTTCATTGGTGTATTTTCATCACTGAAGCTGAAGGGGATTATTGATATAGGTGGGTTAACATCTCCCATATTTGTTATTGTTTTCTGTTTATTGCCCTTGTTGTCTGTTTCTTTTTTGTATTTCACTCTTTTTCTGCCTTCTATGATTTTAATTTAGCATTTTATAAGATTCCATTTTTCTCCTCTCTTAGCATATTAATTATACTTCTTTTTTTGTTCTTTTAAGTGGTTGCCCTTGAGTCTGCAATACACATTAACAACTAATTCAAGTCCACTTTGATCATTATACAACCGTCCTGCTTGGAGTGGGTAATAGGGAGTTGTTTAATGGGGACAGAGTTCCTGTTTGTGATGATAAAAAAGTTCTGGAAGTAGACAGTAGTGATGGTTATATGACATTGCAAATGTACTTAAAATCACTGAATTGTATACTTGAAAAATGGTGAAAATGGTATACTTCATGTGATATATATTTGACCACAATAAAAAATGGTAAAAAATTAAAATTAAAAACCCTAAGGAAATCTAAATAAAGTATGGGCTTCACTTAGTAATAATATATCAATATTGGTTCATTAATGGTAACAAATATATCACATTCATGTAATAGTGGAAACTGCTGGGGAGGAGGAATACAGAAGCTCTTTGTACTATCTGCATAGTTTTTCTGTCAATCTAAAACTGTTCTAAAATATATATATATTAATTAAAAAAAGAGTGAGACCCTCAACCAGGTCTATTACTGAGTGTGTGTGTGTGTGTGTGTGAGTGTGTGTGTAACACATTGTCAGCTATCAAGAATGTTATTGAAGTATCCTGAATTTGAAATATTTCATAATTCTTCTAAGTCTAGTTATATTACAAAATTCCAAAATCCCATCCTAACTAACTTTGAGATCTTTGTCTAATATGTTTGTTAAGTTGCAAATGATGATCTCTCAATTAATTCCCTGATCTCCATCATGGTTACGTCTGACAAAGAAAATAGCTTGTACTCTTGAAATACTCTATCTAGAAAATTCACAAAGAGAAAAATTAATGAAAGTGAATAAAGTCAGGGGCCAGATCTGAGAGCCAATTTCATTGCATTCCTCTAACCCAATGATTCTCAAATGTCAACATGCATATGAATCACCTGGGGATCTCGTTAGATGAAATGCAGATTACAGTTCAGTAAGCCTGGGGCAAGCCGGAAATCCTGCATTTCTACCACGCTCCCCGGGAATGCTGACACAACTGGTCTGCAGACCACATTTGTACCATAGAGGTTCTAACCAACTTGAAAATATAATGGAAAATAACATATTTTATATAAGCAATCAAAACCATAAAACACCTAGGAATTCACTTACAGGAATTATCTACACATCTATACGAAGAAAAAATTAACTCTATTAAAGGATATAAAGGAGGGTCTGAATTAAGTGAAAGAATACACCATGACCATTGATAGAATAACTTGACAATGTAAAAATGTCAATTTCTCCCAAATTAATCTAGAAATTCAATGCAAAAATAGTTTTAAAAAATCAAGATTGTTTAATGTCATGCTTTCTTGGTTCTCCCCATCTCATCCCCCAGAATCACCATTGGGGCATGCATTCTCTCCCTGCTCCCCACAGCCTCCAAGGAAACTCCTTCTCCAGACCATTCTCACGCTACCAGAGGCCCTAAGAGCAACTACACTCACGACAGGAAAGGATGTGGACTCAGTGATCAGAAGGTGTGGGTTGGAATCCTGGCATAATCAAGAATTCTGATATTATGACTTTGTGCAAATCACTTAACTACTCAATCATCTTGTGTAGAAGATGGAGATGGTAATACCACCTCACAGAGTGATCACTATGAGGATTAAAGGAGGTAAGATAATGCAACAGGAAGCACAGTGCCTGATACACATGTGCTTATAAACACAAGTTTCTCTTTCCCTGTTCCTTTAATCTCTCCTGGGTTGCATGAACCCCACCTTAACTGGAATTACTAAAATATCTATAATGATTTATGGTAGGGCCAGCACAAGAGGGGCTCCACTCCCACCATCCAAAATAACATGTTTCCATTCTTACCCAGTTAGGGAAGAATCATCTGGTTTGAGTAACTTTTCATATTCCTGACTGTTCTTGGAAGAAGCTTCAGGCACTGCTTGCTGAGAACCTGATAATATTAGCAAATGTCTCTAAGCTTCTTGTTGCATGCTGGCTCACTAAGAGGGCGCCTATCATGTTTCTATAATCCAGTGTCCAGGCAGAAGGCCTGGTATGTGATAAGCATTCAGTAAAAGGGCTTTGTAAATAATGAAGGAATGAATGAATATACTGACCAATTCTGCTTATTTGGACAAATGGAGGCAAGAGGCCCCAGTTCTTTATATAACGCCCCATAGAGAAAAAGCAGGAGAAAGTCTATTTTCTGTTAAACTGTCCATTTCAGCACTGTTTACATTAGAGAATACTGAAAATGCTCCTGAGATTCCCAAATTTCAAGCTATAGGTAATGGTTAAGCGAACTACAGTCCTACCGGCAGATGAAATACTATGTAGCCATTACAAACGAAGTTTATGTATAGTCTTTAAGGAAATAGGAAAGTGCATGGGATAACATATTGACAATCTCAGAATGCAGAAGAATATATCCAGGATAGCTTCATCTATGTTAAAAAGAAAGTTCTAGAACAAAATCAATGGAATTTGCCATAATATGATAACCAAAATATTACACTGATTGCTCCTGGTGATGGAATTATAGACTATTTTCCCTGCTTGTTTTTTACTTTTCTATAGTCACTGAATTTTCTAAAAACCACATATATAACTTCTAGAGTCAGAAAAGTTTTCTATAAGTTACAAAACAAATGAAAATTAAAGAAAGAAAAGAAATCCACAACAAAAAAGTGAGCCATGCAGCGAGAGCAGTGTTGCCTTGGCAGGGCAAACCAGCTGGCAGGAGCTGCTGACACACGGGAGGGACACCAGTGCATGTGCACCACACCGGCGGCACCAGTCACCGGCTCTCCCTGCCACAGTCTTGCCTTCAGCTTTCCACAAAGGTTCTCCACTCACCTCGCAAAGCCTCTGAGGGTTTTTCTGCTTTTTCTTGTTTTCCTGGTGGATATTCCTGGTTCCACTCCTCTCTGACAACACCGACTTTCTCAGTGCCCTGTTCAGATAATGTTCTCTGATTTAAAACCAAGTATCTCACTTCATCTAGAATGTAGGAGAGGAAAGGATCATTGAGTCAATCTATCAGAAATATGTATTGAATACCTACTATGTGACAATCACTTTCCTTGCATGGAGATAAGGCAATGGAAAGACAGATAAGGTTCCTGCCCTCCTTGAGTTGTTGCCTGGGAAGCTGCCTCCAAATACCAGGAGCCTCAAAAGAATAACTACACATGTTTGTAGTTATTTTGAGGATCTCAGACCTCAACTGGCAATGGCTTCCTCTAAATAAGATCATAAAGCTCCTGATGTGTTGTTCCACTGAATCATATTTCACTTTAAGGAAGGCATTACAGTTTCCCCCAATTTACAGATGAGGAATCGACACTTAACCTTCCTGTGGACAGAGAGCTGGTTCTCGGCAAAGCCAGGACTATACCCAGAGCTTCCTGTCCCCAGCTAGGGAGCCCACCTCTCCACGCCTTTCACCTCCATCAATACAGGGCACACACACGACAGCTACCAAAACATGTACAATGATGAATAAATGGAGATAATGGAAGCTACAGGAAAGAGGTAGGGAAAAAAAAGAGGTGAGCTTTGATCCTGGCTATGCAAGTTAATTTGCAAGTGACCTTTTATCCTTCTCTAGAAACTGTTTAACCATAAACATTCTGGGTGGCAACCTTTACTTTGAATGTCCTGTCTTTGTCTCTCCTCAAGATATTATCATATCTTTACATTCCAGACCCTTTGCAGCATGCCTGCTTTCTCCTATATACTCTGCACTTTTTTCCCGCTTGCCCTGTCCTCACCCCTCCCCCCGGATAGCAGTGTGTCAACTCCCTATTGGATAAGGGCTCCCCCGCCCCTAGTACCTTATAAAAATCCCTGTCTGCTGTAATAAACAGAGTTCCGGCTTTGACCGCTCTCCTGGCTCGGTGTTCTTTCTTTGTCCCCGGGGCCGAAGCGCAGAGGGGATCGGGCCTGCGACACTCATCATCCCGCTCAGCCCCACAAGAGGTTACCGCCGGCTGGTCCGGGGTCCCTTCCCGCCCTGTGTTGTTGGTCCCCGGTGGCGAGGAACCAACAAACTGGCAGTGCGCCACTTGGGAAGCGCGGTGGCGCTCCTGCTGAGGGTTCGGATCCCACATACAGACCGGTTCCCACTCACTGGCTGAGCGAGGTGCGGGAGCAACACGGAGGGTTGCGATCCGTTGCCGGACACGAAAAAAAAAAAAAAAAGAGGTGAGCTTTGATCCTGTGTTGAAGGATAGATAACATTTTTGGAGAAAGAGATGAGCCTGAGAGCTCCTAAGGTATCGTCAGCCACCTGAAGGCAGGCCCTATAATGAGGCAGAGCCTAGTGTCTGCAGGGACCAGGAAGTGGACCACAGTGTGAAGGTGGCAGTGGGAGTGAGAAAGGAACCTTGGGAGCAAATTATATAAAGCCTTCAAGGCCAGACTCAGAAGTCTGAACTCGGTTTCCTAAGACACTGGGCAGCCATGAAACACTGCAGAGCAACACAGTATCATGGTCAAAGGGTGGTATAGAAAGGTCAGTCAACAGTGGCAGGAGAGAGAAAAAACCTGGTGCAGAGAGAGCTAGAGTCCAGAGGGAGATAGTGGCTGAAGGGCAGAGAGCTCCAAGGAGAACAGGTGGGAACAGCAAGGAGATGTCAGGGGCGAGAATTGAGAGCACAGGAGTCAAACAGGACTTGGAGCTTCAAGACCAATGCCATCTTTGTCCAGTTCTGAGAAACTCAGAGGACGAGCCCACTGAAGAGAAGAGAAATGCTAACTCAGATTGGGATGTTCCACTCAAGACCAGCAGGCTGAAAGCTGACGAATTCCAGCATGGGACCTCCCGTGAAGCCAAACAGATTTACTATCCCCTCTGTGACATGAAACAGGCCTCCTGTTGTGTTTCTGCCCTCCCAGGAAACAGGAGTTTTCATCAAGCATCAAGCATTTTAAGTGACAAAAGGCAGGACTTAAGACAACATGTACACTAGTCTCCAGGAAAAATGTTAACAATGACTAGCGATGGACAGGCATCATGCGATTTCAATATTTTCTCCTTTTTCCTAGTCTATTTCTAAATTGTTTTACAAAGGGAACATACACTGTTTTTTTAGGGGGGAAAAACATGTAAAATAAGAGGCGGTGATGCCAGGCTTGGGACAGGGTTCAAGGAAGAGCAGGTGCCAAGACTTCATGAACACTCACAGCAAGAGGCCCGCGGGCTCTCCCTGCAGGGCCTAGAACTCCCTTCCAGGATCAGAAAGGCTCCTCGAGAAGGCAGGCTGGAAAACCAGAGAAAGCCAAGGTTTCCAGTCGCATGAAGCTGGGTTCTGATTATGGCACTGCCACTCGCCTGAAGCAAATGACAGTGTCACTTTGCTCACAGTAAAATGGCGATAATTGTACTTGTCTGGAAGCCAACAACAGTACCATACTTCATTGATTCTGACATGCACATTGTTTTTATTTTTGAACATCTCTAAACATTGGGATACATCTTATAATTAATGCCATGTCATAGTTTAATTGGCAGAATTTCATTGTGTTTAAATTCTCTGTAGGCAATGCGCACCTTCCGTATTGCTTGCACCTGGGGGAACCACTCCTACTACCGTGCCTCTTTATGCCAGTGGAGTAAGTACTATTTATTTTCCCTTTCTCACAGATGAGGAGCGGATGTTCAGGAACATGCCCAAGGTCATCAGCTAGTACAAGATGGAGACGGGATTGAATTTATCTGACTTCAAAGCCTGGGTCTTTCCATCCCTTCCGGCTCTCTCCTTCAGAGGGGAGTTCAAAAAGACTTTCTGCATTGATACAGTATTTCTACAAGTGAGAATCTAGAAGGGTCTGTGTGAAAGTGTTAGCATGATTGTCTCGCGGTGGTAGGATTTTTAAGTTTTCTCTTTTGTTTCTTGGTATCCTCTCTTTTTCTTTTTTTTCAGTGAACACACAATGCTAGTCCAGGGAGACAAGCTGGTGGTGGGTGTCCCCATCAGAGCTGCCCTGGGACAGAAGGTCCTGAAAGGCAGTGAAGGCACACAGGCACTACCCACTTCTGGCCATAGCTCCACCGGTAGCACCTCCTACAACCCCAAGCACCTTCTGGAAGGATGACATGCCACTCACACAGAAACCGATGTGTGCACTGTGAAAATCAGGTCAAGGTAATGAGGGGACGTGGGCTTTTGCTCTGTCAGGGAAAACTACTGAGAAGCCACAAGCCTCCAGAAACATTTCAATTAAAATCAGAATACCTGACTTTGCAGAAGATCCTACATCATCCGAGTAACCAGTGGTCTTTAATTGATAATAACTGACTTTTTTTTGGAAATTTGTCCTTAATGTTCCAGAGCATCAAGGTTATTTTGCGAACATTTATTTTCTTTAATAATTCCTTTGTCACACTGATGTTAAAAGTTTGGGTCCATGAAAATATCTGAAGCAACAATGGACAGAATACAATGAGAAACTGAAATCAATCATCATGGTGGGATAGTTCAAGTTCAAGTATGTAGACAAAAAAAAAAAATCTAGCCTATCAAGTGGTGAAGTACTTTGCTCTTCATGTTGGGGTTGAACCACATGACTTGCTTTGGCCAATTAAGTGTTAGTAGGTAGGAGGTGCCCAGAGACCTGCAGAGTGTTTGCGGGACCACACGTGCCCTCTGTGTGTATATGCTTTTCCAAGTAAGAGGGTGTCTGTGTGCATTAGTCCCTTTTCTGTTGCTTATAACTGGGTAATTCATCAAGGAATGAAATTCATTTGTTGCAGTTTGGAGTCTGGGAAGTCCACAGTCCAGGGGCACATCTGTCGAGGGCCTTCTTCTGGGTGGGAACTCTCTACAGGGTCCTGTGGTGATGCAGGGAATCACATGATGAGGACGGCAAGGGAGCTCTTTCATGTGCTCTCCTTATAAAGCCACCCATCTACACCCATGACAACCCATTTAAACCATCAGCCCATTACTCCATGAATAGATTAATCCATTCACACGGGCACAGTCCTCACTATCCAATCACCTCTTAAAGGCCCCACCTTCCATCACTGCCATAATCTGATTTCCCACCCTCTCAACACTGTTACAACTCACCTTCAGTGAGTTCTGGGGGGACATTCAATCCATAGCACTGGGTAAGCCCACTTGCCAGGGAGGAGGACGAAAGACACATGAGGTAGAGAAGAGTCACTGTCACAGAGCCCATCCTTAATCAGCAACCTGCACATCCCAGAGAACAACTGATCCCTGTTTGCAGTCACTGAGCTTGGAGGATTGTCAGGTTTGTAACATAGCATTTTTGTGGAGATAGCTAATCGATACACCTTTACATTAAGAGATTTTGATTCAATAGATCTGAAAAAATGTATTTTAAGCAAGGTACTAGGTGATGCACAACCAGCTTATGGAAATCAATGCCTTAACCTCTCTGTGGTTTTCATCTGTAAAAACCAGACAGAACATCACCTGCTTCTTAGGGTTCTTGAGAGGATTAAGAATGTGAAAGCCCATGTGACCACTTACATGCCTGGCCCACAGTTGGGCCCCCTAAAATTGCTGTTTCTTTTTCTGACCTCTGCTCCTGGCTGGCATCGGCCACTCTCTTTGCTGGGGGTCTGGAGGAAGAATGTGGAGCATACGTGCCCTAAACTCCTGGGAGAAGGTCATTGGTGTACCTGCTTTGTGCAGAGGGTACTGGAATATTGCTTTAGCACCTACCCATGTTCACAGAAAAGGCCAGCAAGATGGCGAATTTCCAGGGGATGAGCTATAGTGCATCAGATTTGAAGGAACTGGCAGGATTGTCTGAGGACCCGACGGTGTTGTGCTGGTGGTCAGAGTTAGACTCCTGGGCCTTGGCCTTGACCTTCAGGTATTCCTCCACATCACAGTCACTCAGGGACCGGTTAAAGCTGATGATGGAGGAGATGGGCTCTATGCTCTCTCTCCCTGTCCTCATCCTCCCACTCCCACACGGTCAGCAACATGCTGTGCTGCAGCCAGCACTCCTGGCTGCAAGAAAATAGAAGCTGTCACCACCCTCTGGTCCAAGGGGTTAAGCCATGCATCCTCCAGGAAGACCCCCCTTCTCCTCACTCCCTTCCCTTGTCCTGTTCCTGGCTGAAAAGCCAAGGCCTCAATCACTGTGTGGCACACAGTAGGTATTCAATAGAGGTAGAAGATGAATGACGAAGGAACCGCAGAGACGGTGTGTATTAATCCATTTCTGTTGCTTACAACAAAATACTTTGAACTGGGTAATTCATAAAGAAAACAAAGTTCAGGGCTGGCCCCGTGGCTCATTCTGGAGAGGGTGGCACTGGTAGCGCCGAGGCCGTGGGTTCGGATCCTATATAGGGATGGCTGGTGCACTCACTGGCTGAAGGTGGTGCAGACCACACCAGGCCGAGGGTTGTGATCCCCTTACCCGTCAGAAAAGAAAAGAAAACAAAACAAAATTTATCACTTGCAGTTTTGGAGGCTGGGAAGTCCAAAGCCCAGGGAATACATCTGGTGAGGATCTTGGTGGTGGTGACGGTGACCCAGGGTATCACATGGAAGAAAATGGCAGAGCAGAGAGAACAGAGACTCTTCACGCTCCCCTTTTAAAGCCCTCAGAACCACACCCCTGATCACCATTATTAATCCATTCACTATTGCATGGTCCTACAATCTAATCACCTCTTTAAGACCCCACTTTTCAATTACTGTAAAAGGATTTCCCACCCTCTTTACACTGTCACAGTAAGGACTAAGTTTTGGGAGGACATTCAACCCAAGGCATGGTGGCTGACCATCCTCATTATAACGAGCAGCCCACTTTCTCCAGCTGGAGTCCAGCTGCTCCTCTTTTCACAGATCAGGAGTCAGGTCCCTGACCAACAGCGGGTGAGCGGGGCAGAGAATCCCCCGGGGGGCGCTCAGGCAGGTGGCGATGGTGTTGGTGAGGCTGCACCAAAGCACATATGCGTTTGCCATTTGGGGAAAGGCAAACCAGGCCTGGGGACAGCATATGCAAGAGCCTGACGAGGTCAAGGAGGGTGAGACCCCCGACGCAAGACATGAACTGGCATGGGGTGCTGGGCTCCGGGGACAAGCGCAGGGTCCGTGGAGGCGGAACTCCAGGCTAACGCAGAGAAGGGAGACTATACTGGAGGTGAGACAGGAAAGGATGCAGGGCTGGGGCACTGAGGTGGGGGTCGGGGTCCCCCCAAGGAGACGGTGGTACCTGAGAGCCGATGCGCAGGCGGCAGCCAGGGCTCAAACGGCAATGTCAGCTCCCGTCCCTGCTCCACAGCCGCCTCGGGGAGGAAGCTCCAGCGCGCAGACAGCCCCGCACGTGCAGACAGCCCCGCACCTGTCCACGCAGCTTTATTTGCTGGTTGCTAGGAGACGGGCGGTGACGGGGTCCCTCTGGGGGCGGGGCTTCTCGCCTCAGCCACCACCACAGAGGAGTCTGTCAACTAGGTGTATCCAAATTATGAAACCAATTGCCTGCCTTCATTCATTCATTCAATCTTCAAGGAATTTCCACTTTAAGTCAGCACCTATTATGCGCCTGACCCTTACTTATGGCATGGTGGAGAGGGGTCGCTGGCTCCTCCCTACACCTCCATCAGCTCCCACCTCCCATTCTTTAATGAAGGCGAAACAATTCCAGCCCCCAGCCTTTGAACCAGCCTGGCTGACACGGTGCAGAGCAAAAACATGCTGTCTCCACCAATTCTTCCCCAAGTTGCAGATTTATAAGCAAATTATTATTCTCTTAAGCCACTAAGTTTTGGGGTGATTTGTTGCACAACAATAAACAACTGGAACAGACCCCCTTTTTTTTTTTCATTCCCACCACCTCTAAAATGCTGTTGCATTGCCAAAATACAGAATCACTGCCCTGAGAGAGAGGGTGTCCAGGTCAGCAGCCAGGGCACCATGGGGTGGATGGAGACGTGCTGCCCAGTTCTCAGGCATGAGTGAGTGGTGGGTCCATGACCTCACCTCAGCAAAGATGGCTTCAGGACTGGCAAGGTCAGGAGAAAGGGAGGGGCTTCCTCTGCAGTTGTCTATTGCTGCATGACAAACCGTCCCCAACCTGGGGACCTGAGACAGCCACCACTGGTTATTTCTCACATTCTGCATTAGCTAGGTGGTTCTTCACGGGTCTCACCTGGGTGCACTCACTGGGCTGTACTCACATGGGGGGATGAAATGGCCAGATGCTTCAAGAAGGCCTCACTCACATGTCTGGGAGCTGATGTTGGCTCTAGGCTGGGGCACCTCAGTTCCCCTCCACGGGTCCCCACCCCCGATGGTAGACCAGCTTCCTTATATGGCGGTGGCCTCAGTCTCCTCCACATGGTGCCTCATCTTCCTGTGGCTGGACCGGCTTCGTCAGAGCAGAGTTCCAAGAGGGCAAAGGAGTGTGGCCAGGTCACTGGAGAGCTGGGCTTGGAATTGGCACAACGTCACTTTAGCAGCACTCACTGACCAAAGCAAGTCACATGGCCAGCCCAGATTCAAGGTGATGAAGAATGAGTCTTCACCTCTGGATGGCAAGAAGGGCAAAGTCACATTGAAAGGGGCAGCACCTGGGGTTGGGGGGAGTTTGAAACCACTGAGCAATTGCTCTTTCTTCCCCCTTCTTCCCGGGAGGGGGAGCCCCAGCGCTTCCCAGGCACGCAGGGCTTCCTGAAGGTATCCCAGGACTCGGCATTGGAAGCATGTCAGGAAACAGCTACATCCTCCTTCTTCTTGACACCTTAGTCTAGCCAAGGCAGTGCTGCCCTCCCTCCTCCATTTTTAACAGCTTTTATGAGATATGTTTTATTTCATAAAATCCATCCATTTCAAGTGTAGAATTCAGTGATTTTTAGTAACTTTATTGAGTGGTGCGAGCATCACCACAGATTAGTTTTAGAACATTTTCATCCCCCTAACGAGATCCTTCATGCACATTTACAATTAATTTCTGTTTCCATTCCAGCCCCAGGCAACCACTAATCTACTTTCTGTCTCTAAAAACTAGCCATGGAGTCATGCAACATGTGGTCTGGCTTTGTGACTTGCTTCTTTCACTCAGCAATTATGTATTTTGAGGTTCATTCATGTCGTAGTTTGTGTCAGTGCTTCATTCCTTTTTATGGCTGAATAATATTTCATTGTATGGTTATACCCAATTTGTCTATCCATTCATCACTTAATGGACTTTTAGACATTTATAAGAAATGCTGCTATAAATATTCACATGCAAACCTTTGTGTGGACATGTGTTTTCATTTATCCCGGGCAGATACCTAAGAGTGGAATTGCTAGGTCATGTGGTAGTTTTAGGATTAACTGTTTGAGAAACTGCCAAACTGTTTTCCAAAGCGGCTGCACCATTTTACGTTGCCATAGCAACATGTGAAGGCTCCTGTTTCTCCACATCCTTGATGAGATTCACTGTGTCTTATTTATTACAGCCATTCTCATGGGAGTGGTACAGTATCTCACTGTGGTTTTAGTTTGTTTTTCCCTAATGACCAATGATTTTGAAATCTTTTCATGTGCTTGTTGGCCATCCATAAACTTCTTTGGTGAAATGATTGTTCTGTCTTTCACTTGCTTTTTGATTGAATTGTTTGTCTTAGTATTGAGTTGTAAGACATCATGGTTGATTCTGAATACAAGTCCTTTATCAAGCATATGTTTTGCAAATATTTTCTCCCAGTCTCCTGTTTGTTTTCTCATTTTCTTAATAGTGTCTTTTGAAGTGCAAAAGTTTTGAATTTTGATAAGGTCCAATTTATCTTTTTCTTTTTTGGGCCATCCATTTGATATTTTATCTAAGAAATCTTTGCTTAATAGCAGGCCCATTTTTAATAGAAAAAAGTAAAACTTGGTGTCTGAACACTGAGCAAATCCATTAACCACAACTCCTAAAATTTCAAAAGCTTCATGACACTGAAAATAATGGCTCAAGGACATTCCCAGACACTTCTGGTCACAAAATGACACAACTTTCTGAAAGATATTTGGACAACATCAAGAGCTTATAAAATGTTCATTCTCCTCAACCCGGCAATAAATCACTCAGAATATAGAGCACACTGTTTACAGTATTGTTTTAATGGAGAAAAGCTGAAAACCACCCCAATGTGCGTCTATGGGAGATGACTAAGCACCACAGTCCAGCGTGTGGAGGGCGTGGGTGGCCTCAGGAGCAGTGCACGTTAGAAAACGTGAACGATGGCAAAGCTGTCCATGAGTCACTGCGCACATGCAGAGAAGGGTCCCAGTGGCGCGTTTCCTCTGTTTTTTTAAGTCGGATTTAATGAAGTACAATGTATATACTGTAAAATTCACCCTTTTAAAGCATTTTTTAAAAATTAAATTAAATTTATTTTTAAATTAAATTAAATTTAATTATACTTCTCAAAATACATTGTACTTGATTTTCATGCCCCTTTACCTGTTCCTCTCCACCTCCTCCCCTCCCCCCCACGCCCACATCGTATCTGTGCACTTGGCTTAACTAGCTCAAGGAATATTTGTGGTTATTCTGTCTTCTTCCCTTCACCCTTTATTTGTTTGTGTGTTTATTATTTATTAATTTTTAGCTCCTGCAGATAAGTGAGAACATGTGGTATTTCTCTTTCTGTGCCTGACTTGTTTCACTTAAGATAATTTTCTCTAAGTCCATCTATGTTGCTGCAAATGGTAGTATTTCATTCTTTTCTATAGCAGAGTAGTATTCCATTGTGTAGATATACCACAGTTTCCTTATCCACTCATCAGATGATGGACCTTTCGGCTGGTTCCAGCTCTTGGTTATTGTATATAGAGCTGCAATAAACACTGGAGTACAGGTATGCCTTCGGCATGATGATTTCCATTCTTCTGGGTATATTCCCAGCAGTGGGATTGCTGGGTCATATGGTAGATCTATCTGTAATTGTTTGAGGAAACTTCATATCATTTTTCATAAAGGCTGCACCATTTTGCAGCCCTC